AGTTCTAGTTACCATTTCCCCAGAAGCAAACCCCATGTGGCCCTGCCTGACAGCCTTCTCTCTTGCAGATTTTTTTTTTTTTTTTTTCGTATCGGGGATTGAACTCGGGTCCTTGCGCTTGCGCAGCAGGCGGAGAAACCACTGAGCTAAATCCCCGACTCTTGCAGAATTTTATATTAAGCAACACAGACTTCTGCCTTTTGTCTGACCCAGGTGTTTTATAGTGTCCTACCACATCAGAATGTAACACATCCTGATGAGCAGCTCTTACCTTGGAGTTTGGAAAGATTAAGTGAGAAAATGTATGCAATTATTTGTACACTGCCTAGGATAGTTTTCTTTTTCTTCCCTGCACACTTTTTTTAACCCATGCAAAATTTCTCTTTAGGCTACATGACTGTGAAACTCTATGGGACCAGTGGAAGCAGAATTAGAAAAGATAAATGGCTAAATTTTGGGTTTTAAATTCGCTATTTAGAAAATAATGACAAATTTATACCATTCTTAACAATACTCCTTTCCCCACATCAATCCCACCAATCTGGAGAGCATTTCTGACCTGGAGAGGAAAACCTATGATGAAGAGGAGAATGACAGATTATGCTGAATGTCTGGAATATATGCTCTTCATTTTGGTAACTTCCTCTAGATTATATTTGGAAATGCAAAATATTTTCCACTCTCTGCTGCAATGATGTAAAACAGACTTACAGGGTTTCACTTACCCTTGCATTGGGAGTGATGAGGGTAAAGGGGAACTATGAGCAGCAGAACCAAGTTTTCTGAGTCTGAAAGCATTATGGGCACCTGAACCCTGTACTGTTTCCTCTAGAAAGGTTCAGAGTTTTCAGGAGGGCCCCAGGACCATTAAGTTTCCATTGGGCCCCAGGTTCCATTAAGGACGTATAATAGTGCAATGAGCATTAGATCAAATGTTTGCATACCAGATGGGGATGTAGATATCTCAAAGGAAGAGAGAATAGAATAGTGATAATTACCAACAATGAGATCTATAGTGTATATCCTAGCATATGTCACCATTAGATACTGGCAAGGATAGAGATTTCCTTTCATTGTTATAGTGTTACATCAGCCATGTGTCTGACAACTTTATGTTCACTCAATATCAGTGCATTCCCATACCTTTGAACTTGATATTACCAAGTGGTAAGTTTCAAACAAGCTGTGGCAGTGAAAAGCTCCTTTTTGACCTGTCAAATTCTTTTCTTTGTCACTGTGATCATGGAGGTAACGTTTAGACAGATGAGCCACAAGATAAAGCAGTCTGATCTCCAAAGTTATCATTTCGAAAGATCCCGTTAGACTCGTAGCAGAAATACATTTTGTATGATATGTCAGTGATATTTCGGGGTTAATTTATCATCATTTTAGAGTCTTGTGAATCCTTAGTAATACAGTTCCCAAAACCTGTACCTCTGAGAAAAAATGAGGAAAACCCAGCAATTGGGTGAATATACTTTAAATTGATTCTGAAATAAATCTTATTCAGTTTACGTTTTCCATTCCTTGGTTATCTGGAAGGCACTAAGTTTTCTCACAGAAAAACATAAAGGAATATCTCAATTTAGATGCGTGAGAAAAAACTGTAACTGCTATATTATTACTAATCCTTTAACTACAATATACCATAAACTATATAATATTTTAATGTCAAATGGATTTGTGTCCTAGCTCTGCCATTTTTTTTGCATGACTTTGGTCAAGTTTTTCTAAAATTTTCCTCCTTTATGAAAGAGTACCTGACTACCAGGGTTATAGCATAATAGATAATGTGAAATAGGAAGTAAAGGTCCAAAGAGGAAGGGGTAGTGGGAGGGGTTGGGGAAAGGAAAGAAGGGAATGAATTAGTATGAGAAAAGGAAAAAATGGAAACAAAGTCTTTGTAAATAGGGACAAGTGGAGGGGTTGAAAGGAGGGCAGGGGAATGGGGAAAAATAAGAACCAAAATATATTATGTAAAGGTATAAATTTTCAGTGATGAATGTCATTATATTGTATACCTAAAATGTACCAATAAAATTAATAAAAAATAACAGTTGCCATCCAATCAATGATATTGTCATGGTGGTGGTGGCTGGTGATCCACACAACCATAATATTTTCATGCTAACAGCAAGGTGATACCAAAAATCCCTGAATATATGGAAGCAGATGACATAAAAATATGATACTTAAGATAATTGGAATGAGATATTAAGATTTGATTTTGGATTATTTTGTGGTATGTAAGTGTCCCTTGCAACAGGAATCAGTGAGATGCTATAAAATGTTTGGAAAATATTAATATTTGGAAAATATGCTTTTCTGTTTGTCAGAGGCAGAAATCTTTGTATTATTTTGTAGAACTCTATCTTGGAAAGGTGAGGAAGTGGAAATAGGTCAAACAGTTTTCAAGATGAGTATTTTTTCTTTTAAAAACCTATGGGTAACTTGCAAGCACAGATATGCCAATATTCACATGTCTCCCGAGTACCATTTGGTTTACAGTCTTCTGATTGCTATCTTGTGGTGAATTGTTCTGTTTATAGCTTTAAAATTGCTATCTGGGTGACAGTCTTCTGTTTCTAATCTCACGATGGCTGCCTAGTGGCATAGCTCCCTATGGTTCAGGATGCAGCTTGATAACTCTGTGGAGGGAAATACAATTAGCTAACTATGCACCTGCTCAGCATACAGTTTTACAAGTGTAACTAGCAATGTGATATATGTCTTGGGGTGTGTGGTAAAAGAGCTTGAAAATGAAATTCTGTATGAAGTTTTGCAATATCTAAAGAAATATATCTTTATAAGTCTATAGAATAAATACTTTCTTGATATTCTGTATGGATGCACATATAGAACATTTAAAGTTAAACATATGTGAGTTCAGGATCTTGGAGAGTAAGGCAGAAGAGAGTAGCTGGAGTCTGAATTTCGGCATCCACTTTAGCCCCTCACTTCTAATGTACCTCACAGATTCTCCAAGAATTTTCCTCCTTTCATCATCATTTTAAATGAAGGTTTTTCACTGTGTCAGGACCCCATGGTGTTTCCGTTTTCAGTGAAAATTTAACATGTAGTAAACCCTAGAAAATGTATCAACTTCTTTATAATGTGGGTACTTTATATAAAGTAGAGATAAGTGTAATTTTCTGTAATATTCTCTGATACATGAAATGAGAAAACTGGTGCCTTTATCAAGCAGATTTACAGTACCCTACAGAATCAGTAGGCTCTTGCATGTTTTAAAAGCTTTTTAGTTACAATTATATTGCATTTATCCTGTCTCTCTCTCTCCTTCCCCACCCTTGTCTCTTAATAAGGTCTCTCTCTGTTGCCCAGATTGGTTTTGAGTTTGCTTTTAGGCTTAAGCACTCTTTCTGTCTCAGCCTTTTGAATACCTACAACTACAGGCATGAGCCACCAGAGCCTACCTGCATTTATCTGCCTTGGGTAAAAAGATCCTGATTCTCCATTACAGCTAAGTTTCTCCCTTGAAGTACGAGTAGGTAGAATGAAGTGTTTAGTTGTATCAGGAGAGTGGTAATAAATGCACTAATGACAACTTATAGCTTTGAAGTCATTGTTTCAGAATAGCATGATCCTATTACAATGAGGTTCTTTTTTTTTTTTTTTGCAGAGAGAGAAACAGCAGTGGTTAAGAAAGTAGAGAAAAAGGGCCAGGAATTTAGCTCAGTGGCACCATGTCTGCCTGGCAAGTGCAAGATCCTGAGTTTGAGCCTGGTACCAAAAAAACAAACCAAGACAAAAGGCCCAAAACAACAACCAAACAAGAAAGTAGAGAAAAGAAATATATCTAAGCCACTGGATGCAGCTTTGAGGTTAACGTCACATAGGAAAGCGTACATCCATCTAGACTTTAGTTTCATTTTCCTCATATGGATAACCAGGACCATTCCAGTAATGTATATCTCAAAAGGGCATAGCAAGCCAAATGACCTACAAATGCAAAATAAGTTTATACATTGTAAAGGACCTTGTCCTTAGCATATAACTGCTATAAAGTAGCATGGTGCCACCAGAAATTGCAACTGTACCTTAAAGCTTTGAGAACACAAGTGGTTTCTCCCTTTTCCTCGGTCTGTCAGTGTCTTAAAAAGTAAAACGTCTCGAACACTGTACACACTATGTCTCACCCTGAACACTATGAAAGGACAATAATTAGGGGTGAAAAATTAAAAATACAGTAAGTGTTCATGTTCCCCGCAAAGAGCAGGAGGATGATCATCAACAGGATGAAGTCTCATAAATGAACAGATTTCCGGGAACTTACTACAATATATTCTTTTAAAATATGTTTTTTGTTCATAGAATGGATTGACAACATATGTAATCAAATAACAATAGTAGTTTGAAAGAATAATATGCTTTCTGACAAAAAGTTATTAGAATCTTAAAATCCTTAAACTTTGGAACCCTGATGGAGTAATACATAAAACTTAGGAGAGTTATAATAAAATGTTTGTAGAGAATCTTGTTCATGTCACCAAAGTTTGAAATCTCTCTACCACAGTTCTATGGATTTAAGTCTTTAGTTGATTGACTATTATAGTTCTCAAGCCCTTCTCCCGCTGCAAGTATTGCATTAACATTTGATGTTCTTTATAAAATAAAGACTTTCCATGAAACATTTTTGTAAACTGCAATGACAGCAGAAAAAATATTAATGTTATTTGGATTCAACCTACAAAATATTTTATAATTATTTTATTCCCAAAGAAACAGACCAACCACAGTTAATTAAGCAGTCTGCACAGATGAGTAAGTCTGTACACATCAACAGTCATGTGTGTTGGATGCTGAAAACATATGGAACGTATCACAGTCCAGACAACCAAAGGGTTCTGAGCAATAATTAATGAGATTCGTAAGTATAGACAAAAATAAGTCCATTTTCACATCTTCAGATTACTAAATCCAGTACAAAGCTTCCTTTTCTCCAATTGGTTTTTCTTACAACAAATTTCTGACACAGAATATTAGTTTCATATTTTATTGAATTTCATTTATATTAAATTAAAAATATATTTCTGACAGATTCATGTAACAAAAAGGCAGAACAGTTTTCAAATTGTTCAGCTGGGATGATCAGTACAGAATGAGGCAAAGCAGTTCGCATTCTATAATTGCCTTGTACAGGTACAATTATTTCCCAAGAGCCAATAGGATCCTTGAGAACTAACTGAAGAGCCTAATTACATAAATTTAAAATATTGTTTCTCCCTCATTCTCAAATAACAACAGAAACCAGGGGTAGGAAAGAGAATGGGGTGAAAGATTAGAGAAGAATGAATAAAGGAAATTATACTAAAAATATACCTAACATTAAAAAAGTTAGTATGTGTTAAGTGCATGATCCTTCACAGATAAAACAGAGAAACAAATAAAATAACATTACACCACACACAATTGACATATCCTATTGTGTAAGCGAGTGCAGAAGTTGGACACGTCACAATAGTGCTAAACACAGAATCACAAGTAATGTCAAAATGATAACTTCCAACCAAAAAGAAACAATCACAAGCCAATTACTTATATACAAATCAACCCTAGAGACAATTATATTCCAAATAAAGATGTTCACAAAAGGAAATCAAAGCAACATTTTCCTTATTTACAAATGCAACTAGCCATGTCTTTAACAAGCTATAAAAATACTATTCACATTTTCAAACATACAGTAGTATTTTTTTTTTGTATATTTCAAAAAGGCAGCTAACTTTGAATGCTGGGACTTAAATGAAACATTGATGGCTTACCAGGAAGTTATTTTTGTACCCCTATCCTTTGAAGATACTTCACAAGAGAGAGGCCTTGTTTTCTGTTTACAAGAAAATAAGGAAGTGAACACAACTCCACCTTTTGGGTAAAGATTCTCCCTTTCTCACCCAAAAGGCTTAGCCAACTTCTTTGATGCATGCACAAGATGAGTGTTTGAGAGAATATTTAATGTGACGTGTTTACTTGGTGCTTCAATTTGTCTTGCACATTGATCTCATAATGATGCTCAAGAAAGAGATGAACTGCTAGTCAAAGCATGTGAAAATGCAGTTTCAACATGCAACAATGCAATCCCTGTTGCTCACGATATGAAATGCGGACACCCCAGCCAGTGAGATGTGAATTCAAAGTTAGCTGCCCTCACACAGCTGCTCAGTTTAATAATCGACCCATTTGACAGCAGTACCAGTTTATGCTACATATTTCAAAGTACCTTACTTTAAAAGAACAGCTTACATATCTACATTTAGAAAATAATTTTTGTATTTTGATTACGGGAGTACTTCCAAAAGGGTTCTTGGAGTGCTATGGTTATTGTCCCCTCACTCCCCCCTCCCAGCCCCTGAGAGATCCAGAAATTTACAGGAAAAATAACTCTCACATTAAGGGAAAAATGACAACCCCTCCATTAACTAAAATATTTGGAAATAATGTTTGAAAATCACGTTTATGTCAATATCTAGGTGATATGGTTTGTTTTCCTTCAAAAGGGCTACAGGCCTGGGGGAAACCTCTACATATCGGGGATAAAAATAGTAATAAAGGCAAAGTGGTTTGGACAAGTTAAAGTATTGCCTGCAGTTACAAAGCTTTGTTGTTCTATCTTTGTATATTTGTACAAATATAACCATTCATGATATGGGAGAAACTCACTGGAGCATTAAAAGAAAAATATCCTTCAAGAGGGCAAGTAGAGAAAGAATGGCATTGTATTAGATAACATATTTTCATGAGAGCAAAATTTCACTCATAAATTTGTTAAATGGATGTACAATCCTGAAAAAGAAGTTGAAGGGGGTTCTCAAAGCTGACTAGCTTTTACTGGTATGATAAGACTCCTCATTTGGAAAAAAAATACAGCAGCTATAAAATATTTTCAATCAGGAATAAAATAAGATGAATAAAGTAAATAAGTTAATTTGCAGGCAAAAACTAACTCCTTGGTTATGGACATAGTTTGCATGGAAAGACTACATCCAAGACCTAGAAGAATATGTGCACACATGTATGAGTTTCAAGATTCATCACAGGGCTACCTCCTCTCAAATTCCTACAGAGGACATATATGAGACTCAGTCTTCATGGGGAAACAACTGAAAGTATTCTCTGTGCAATAATTTATCTGAGAAGTTACGTAAACAATATCCAAATTGACAGGATCTTTTGTGGAAAAATCAGGCATTCAAGGATAAAATCCAAGTCAGTATATCGCAGAGTAGGATGTGGGACCACAGGGATCCACTATGGCTTAAGAGAGGGATGATGCCAGGAGAGCCACTTTGAATTATGGTGGTAGAAAATGAAAAGAATGGAGAGTATTGTGCCAATGAGAATTTAAAAAGTGAGGGTGCTATTTTCCTCTAAATTTTAGAGAGAAATAAAGGTTTCTGTGATTCTTAACAAGGTATCCCTTGCAGAGCTGACTGCCAAAGTAGTGTTTTCCACAGGAGGCAAGTGAATACCCCATGAAATTGGGGCTTAAAATGTTTTCACCGTGTGACTCTAGAAGCTGTTCCTTCTACCCAAAGTATCCCCTTACTGGAAATGAAACAAGGCAGGGGTCTGGAAAAGTGATACATTCTACATTTTTTCCAGTCTACAAATTCATTGGTAATTGAACAGAACATTTGGAATTTCTACTGTTTTAGAGATCTTTATTTTATTCAAAGGAAGAAAGCAGCCCATGGTGTTAGAAGAGCTCTACCTAGGTAAACACAAAGGCTCCTGGACAAACACAATGCCTGCAAGAACTTCATGTTTGTAATGAAGAAGAACTCCTTTTGCAAAGGCATCTCTGGATTAAGAAAATTATACCTGGAAGTATAAAAGCTGGCCCAGTTGTAGTATTGGTAAGAATTAGGTCTCCACTGATAAAGATTTTTTTAAATTATCTTATTTATACCTGTATAACGTTATTTATTTTTAAGCAAATGGCAAGCAGAAGACATAGTCTGCCCTTCTATGTCTGCATGGGAACAAGGCTGTCCTTCAACTTGATGTACAACATTATCCACATACACAGAGAGGCCCAGCAGGATCCTCTGTTGGTAGTCTATATTGTACAACTTGGCTTATCTGGCTTTTTAACAAGTATAAATGTATACACCTGAAATTCTCACATGTCCCATAGCAAATCATCAGTCTAAAAGCTAGAGTCTGAAAGAATGCTTTCTTTAGCATGTATTTATCAGAAAAATTTTGATGAATTCCTTGTTGGTTTTCAAGGCAACAGAGTATGGTGGGAAAAGAAAGTATAAGTCACAAATTAAATATATTTTGTTTGTTTTCTAAATAACACCACTTATTTGTCTTTGCATAAGGTAACAGAACTCTTTCTTTTCCTTTACTTTGTCTTGAAGACCTCTTAAAGTCACATGTAACGTATTTGCCTGTTAAAAGCTACAAGGTTGTATTTACAAAACAAACTAAAAATGAAGAAGAAAATTCTCCTTGCACTTAATACATTTAGAAAGTAATAAAGGAATAAGAGAATGAGAAAATTTTTAATTATGGAGCTTTACAGCAAGTTTTCACAATTGGAACCACATACACTTACTTTCAGCTAAACCCAACAAATAACAATTTTAAATGGCAAACTTAAATGTGTGTGTGTATATATATATATATATATATGTATATATATTTTACTAGGCAATATCCAATCTAAATTTTCATAGCCTGAATTTTAGTTTGTTACACATACTTTATGGTTAGTTTCTTAACTTGATTTATTTAATAATATTAAAATCATTTAACATCTGATAACCTAACTAAATCTACATCTTACAACATTATCATGGTTCTCTCCAGTTTTATACATGCTTTCATAATCATTTTTTCCATTACCTTATGGACTACATATACTAGTTAAATAATCAACACTTATAGATGGATGAATAATTTAAGTTTTTAAATAAGGGTTAGATAGGTCTAAAAAAACCCAAAAAAACTTGTATTTACATCCTTCCCTGTCAGTCTGAAACTGTTTTCTTTTCAAATTTGACACTTCAGGAAGTATATTGATCATCCCACCAACTTAGCATCTAGCAGCAGAGCATCACGTTGTTACTTTTTCCTTAGCATTGGAAATGTGCTCTATCCTGTATCATGTCCTTACTTCAGAAGGTGTTGGTACAGACATTAATTATAACACTTAGAAGAACACTATTTCCTCCCACAAGTCATAGTAACTCAGTCTTTCTTCCTGATCTTTAAAGAAAGTCTTTTGTTTTTAGTTAATGCATTTGAAAGGAATTTAAATTTTGCATTGTTTTCCATGCTATTTCAAGAATGTTTCTGAAGAAAGAATCTTATCCTAATCTATGCAGCTAGTACTAGTCAAAAAACCAAGAGCTTATGTTTTTCAAGTTTACATTCTTGATTCTGCATATTTCCATACTATGGATGTCTGTGTTCCGATATTGCAAAGCACTTTGTAAGCTGCAAGCGGCATTTATAAATTTTTCTTTTCTGGATCAAAATAAAATTATTGTCTAGAGCAAAGGAAACTTTTTGTCTTCCTCTTGTACACTCTCAAATGCATTTCTGGGCACAAAAGTAAAACAAAGAAGAAAATTCCAAACAACTGAAATCAAGAATATACTATAGAAATAATTCAAACGGAATGACAAAGTAGTGCGACTGAGAAGCACTTTGGGGCATTTTAAATTATATTTGGATCAATCTCTAAGTTTTAGAGGAAGATTAGCTGATGTAGATGTTTTGTTTTTAGAGAAAGAAGACTACGTTCATTAAATATATGTCCATTACATCAATAATTAAAGTAGCCTCCTTTTCCTTTTACCAGATAAAGTGACTCTGCTTTCTAATGCCTGTAGAAGCCATATGAATATCATAAATGAAAAGACAAAAAGTCAAGTTAGAGTTTCCAAGAAGGTGCAGTCACTGACAACTTGAGACAGATTTATGTAACCTAGAATGAGAGGCTTATCTTCAATTCTTCATAAGTACTGATGTCAGGTCTCCTTTTCCTAAAGATTCCTCCAATAGAGTGGGAGAACTATAAGCTACTAGGTGGTGGCCTCCAAGTCATTCTGAGTCCTTATCCCTGGGAAGTTAGTGATTGAACTTCAACAGAAGAGATCTCACAAACTCTGCTCCTCCTCCAATTCATTCTTTCAGTTTGCTGCACTTCTCATAGCATAAGAAGAGACCAATCCCAACACTTCCAAGGTTTTTGGCCAAAGATGATCATATGGTGTTGAGTTAAAAGTAAAGTTGCAAGTTAGATTGGCCAATTAGCCAGTGATGTAATGTTTTGGCTGAATTGTTTGTGGTTGGATGACAACATTGCAACTATTCTGTTTGTCCACTTCAATAAATTTGAAGGATATTTAATTCATTTCCCAAATGAGTTTATGAGTTTACAGGATATGTTTTACTACAAACCTGAATCTGTAAAAATTACTCATAAAATAGTCCATGCAATCTAATTCCTTGAACTCATGGAGAAATTAAAATGTTACTCCAAATAAGCCTCCTAGACTATAACATTTTGAAGTAAGGGATGATATTCCACTCATGTGGCTTTTCTTCCTTTAACACAGTGCTTTTGGTAGACTCTAGATAAATATCAATTGGATAACTTTGGATTGGTGAATAGATTTATGTTTTCCAAACTAGGTAGAAATGTAGATTTCTTTGTATTTTTTTCCCTTTAAACTCTCTCTGGGTTACTAATAGATTTTTATTGTAATTGGTTCTCTTGAGGTTACTGATACTTATTTGCTCCTAATGCTTTAACATTAAAAAGAAATAACTTTTACAAATTTAAATGACTCGAAGTAGAATTTTGTGGAAAAGAGAGATGTGTATCCAATTTTCCTAATTACTAACATGAGGCCCTGTTTTTCTGGAGACTCAATTCTTATCACTAATCTTAACTCAGTAGATACTCTTTTAGCACAAAACAGAATAAAGATGGTTCTAGAACTAGAATGCAGTATGTGAAGAAAAGGATTTATGACAAAGTATCAAAAGATTAATATTTTTGGATAATAAAATTATTGCATGAGGTGACTTTTCATATTTACAAATTTTGATCCAAGGACCTACCCATAAACTGTGAATGTTTGTTTTTATTTTTATTACACCAATTTTTGGCTTTGAGTTGCCTTCTACTTGATATAAAGTCTCTTACTAGAAATTCCATAGAATTCAAGCCAATCCTTAACTTGCATTTCTTCATGTGAAGCACATAAAGTGAACAAATTTCTTTATGTAGCAAATGTGATCTCATATATAGATAATATGCTGGCTCTCTCATCATAATCCCTGGATACTGTTCCAAAGTCCTAATTGGGTTGACATTTTCACAATCTGTCTTTATCTCATCTTTTAAAAAATGTACTTAAATTAGTTAATTTGCTGGTTGCTTCCATATTGCTTCATTCAAAATCCAAAATGGAGTCCAGAAAAATAAAAAATAAAATTATAGCTTAAGTGCAAACTATATTTCTGAGTGCCCGCTAGGTAGACATACCCAATCCAGTGTGTTTCTTCCAGTTTGTGGATTTCCCCATTCAACCACTCCTAAAAATGTCAGTAGTGTTCTTGAACCACACAGAACTATCTCCTAGTTTCCTTTCTACTCTTAAAATTACCAACTGCCAATCAAGTACTGTCATTTACGGAAAGGAAGAAAAAATTAAAGAACATAAAGTATAAGGGGACCATATATTCAATAGTGTGAACATGAACACTAGGTTTGATGCTTCATTTGACTAGAATCTTGGCTTTCCCCTCTAATTTTAAAGACTGGCTTTAAAATAGTGGCTTCTTCATTATATTAATTTTTAAAATTTAAATAGTGTCAAGAAGGTTTGATGTAAATATCTTCACAATTACAAATGAAATCCAAAAATAGAGGAAAAATAAATATAAAAGAATAAGCCAAATCAAAACAAAAATTAAAAACCAAAAAGCCTTCCAAACATAATCTCAAGATATAAATTTGATGGAGATTTAAAAATTATAAAAGCTGGGTTGGCCATTTTTACTTCCCAGGATAGAAAATGTAGGAGAAAGAAATGGGATTCTCAATCTCAGTCACTATCACCTTATTGAAATGACTATTTTTTGTTCTAATAGAAACAAGATTTCCAGGGACACTGAATATATATACATCAATTACTCCAGATAGGAACAAATAGCATGGGTATTTGATCCATCTGTATTTAAAAGTAAGTAAAGGAAGGAAGACAAGGAAGCAAGAAGGGAAGGAAAGAAGGAAGGAAGGAAGGAAGGAAGCAAGGAAGAAAGGAACAAAGGTAGATTGGTTGGCTGAAAACCAGTTTGACAGTAGGCAGTATTATCTGGTATTTTCTGCTCCTTCTCTAGCTGTTCCACTCTCCTGAGCAACTCATGCGGAGAAATGAAGAAACAGTGTGGTTCCTCCTGTCTTTCTCTTTTTGTCCTTCCTTCTAATGTTTGAGTTAGATAAGCACACAATTAACATTGCATCTCTATGTCTTCCACTGGGAAGTGTCAAAACTACTGGCCTTAGGGGCAGAAGGAAGATCAGCAGAGAAAGAGAGGGGGTGGGGAAATGGAGCGGGTGTGTCTTTCCACCTTCAAACTACTGCTTAGTTTACACCACAGTATTCCGGTGTCTGTAGGGTGGAGGAGGCAGCACAGTGCCTGGCTTCAGTGAGAACTCAGAGAGGTATTCAGGATTCTCTGCCACAATAGGCCGGATCCGTCCATTCTGTTTATAAAAATATTTTGTGCTGTACTCCTGCAGGTAGTCTGGGTGCTGGAGGGTGCTTCGAGGTGGCAGGCTGTGGTTCCAGTAGTCAGGGTTGTCAAATGCTTTTTTGGCCTTCTCTGGCACAGACAGTACACTGTTCTTCAGATACTCAGCATTCCCCAAGGCATTGGCAAAGGTGTTGAGGTATAATGGCTCATTCACATACTCATCCTCTGCCTTGGGTGGACCATTGGAAGCATTGTGGTACTCAGGATTATCCAAAGCTTGAAGGTCTCCATTTTTTCTCCGAGACACAAAAGGGTTCTCCTCCACGGGATTCAGGTATTCTGAAGGAATAAAAACGATCAGTTAACATCTACTTTTGAAAAAATGGTAATTAGACCAAGGGAATATGGAATGTTTGGCTTGTCTAGAACTAGAAAGCCACAGATTTGTTTTCATGAATTCTCAGCAAAAATGCTTTGTAGCTTGTCACTGCCACATGATTAATTGGCAAGTGGGCAAAAAAAATATTAATGATAAAACAAGGCACCGACAAGGTCAGGATTTGAATTCTCATTCTCCAGACTGTTGTTCTTTCCTTATCATATTTGTCTGCCCTACATGGGGTCAGTTGTGTAAATGCTTTTGTTTTTCAAAAGTCAGTAATTTATATTAGAAATTAAGATTACCAGGGTTAAAAAGCCTTTCCATGCAGATGAATGTGAGCTTTGGTAAAGACTTTTGAAAAATCCAAGGGTTTATGGAAAGAAAACTGGATAAAGAGAAGGAATAGTGTTTTTAGTCTATTTGGCTTGCTATAAAGGCTTGTACCATTGATAACAGGAATTTGATCGGAACTATCCCCAGGAAGCTTTTACATGAAAAAAAAGCATCATATCAGGGAAAAAAAAATCAACTCATAGAACAAAACTGACAGAAATTTCCAGGCCTCTAGTTAAGTTGCATGCTGTTACATATGCACTTGGTTAACAATAAAGCATCATTATAACGTTTATTCTCAATGTCCAGTAATAATGACAAAAGAGAAAACCATTAGTTTGAATTATATAAAATAGTTATTTTGTAAATTAGAGCCAATTAGTGCCTATTTTGTATGAGTCAATCTAACACATTTGGTGTATAGGTATTAGATAAAAATAATGCTAGTAACCAATGCTGTTCATCTCAAAATTAATTCCACCTCCATGTCTGTAACACAGACCACAAAAGACACATATACACATACATATTAGACTCTCTCTTTGTCCTCTTTTTCATTATATTCATGAACACCTGAGCTATTCCTATTTTGGAGTCAGGGCATACAGAGGGCACAATTATTTTTTCATATACTACCATTCTGAAATAAATTTTCTGGCCCCTCTTCTTAGACTAACAATGCAGACAAAGAAATCCCATCAAACAGGGTTATTTTCCCTCACTCTAGATAAACTGAATACAGTTCAGCATTTAGCATTTTTTTGTGTAAGCTCAAATGTAATCATCAATATTCCACCATTATAGAGTTCAGTAATTCGGAAGACACTATCATTTCATTCTTAAAACAATCATGTGAAGGAGAAAGGACAAGTCTTTTTCCTACTTCATGCTAGAATTCAGGTCTTTGAATTTCTATTACATAATCTTCTTGCTCCTCTACTCTATTTTTTATTGCTGCCCCTACGGGAGTAGGGTAAACTTTACAATTAGTAGTAGGTTTTAATTTGATTTTAAAATAATCTGAAAGAACTTATAAGGGAGACATAATTTAATTTTTTTACCAGATTCATGAAACTTAAATTGAAATGTAGGTATGTCTATATTAAAATTCTGTACCCCAAGGACAAGGCTAGAACATAATAACTCTCTCTAAAAATTTGGTTCTCAGTTTTCAGAGATAAAATCTGAGAATATAGTGAGTCAATGTGGACTGATTTGTTTTTCTCTTAGAAGTCTTATTTTACCTCTTCTCAATGCTCACAATTCCCATTCTTACATCACTTATTTTGTTTTCTAGATGTGATCTTTCAAAGTTGCCCGGGCTGGCATAGAACTCTCAATCCTTCTGCTCTAGCCTTCTGATTAGATGAGATTACATGTGTGGAGCACCCTACCCAGCTTCACAATTGCCATTCTCTATTTTGCCCCTGCAGTGAACATTTTTGAACATCTGGCTTGTACCTTGTTTGGGTTTGTCTCGCATAGGAGTCATGTAGCCTTCTTCATCCAGTTCTCCTCTTGGACTCCGTTCTGGGGCAAACAATGTGGGGTCAGCGCTGTACCTCTGGGTGCTGCTGTCCTCTTGGGCATGGGGTACCACTGGCTTGCGTAGGGTGCCATTACAGCAGGAGTCATCAAAAATCTCAGCAGCAGCACCTTGGGCAACTGGAGCTTCTGGGATGGTGCTGGTTGTGGCTCTGTATGGCACAGGCATGCCTTGTTCTGGAGCAAATCCCCCATCTCTGTACACAAACTGGTTCTGCGAATAGCAGAAACATATTTGGAAAGAAGTTCTTGTTAGAAACAATAATATTCCTAAAGCCATATTCCTTGGCTATTAATTAAAAAGGTATGAAAATTTGCTTTTCAGATAAAATAATCATAGTACTGTATTTATTGATTATTTTCCTACTGGCTAATGAAATTGAGTTAGACTAGAAACATTTAAAATTATATTTTTTGAACATAAAATAATGTAGACACATATTTAAAAGTTTGTATTAACTAAGTAGAATATAATCTAGTAAAAAGTATTTTATATTCTTTTCCCACAATGATCTATTTTGGATATAAAACCCAAAACAAGTTTTCACGATAAATGGCATTAAGAGCAGAAGTACACTGACATATTGTGCATGGGGATATTTCCTTATTGACTTCTATTCTGTGGTTTCTGTGACTTTGAGCCTCCAGTACCTAACTAAAGAATTATCAGTGAGAGTTTGACTTTTTAGCATGGCCTATAATCATGGAAGTAAAGATAATCTCTTCACTCCAAAGCATAATTTATGAGCCAAAGTAAATCTTTCAGATAAAAATCGAAAGCCACTGTTGCAGGATATCTCAGGTTTGGATTATCCATTGAGATAAAAGACATGTACAAAGGCAGCTACACAACCTGCAGCAAATTCTTAACTCACTGTTGGCAAAGGCAAAATGTGAAACTTATGAGGAGAGGAGAGAAGAAACATGGTAAGTAAAGACCAAAAATCCTACAAGATGAAGGTTGATCATGAAATACTTACTCCTGACATGGGGGTGTAGGCAGGAGGAGGGCTGTGTCCAATTTCACTCTAATAGAAAAGAAAAATGGGATGATGGATATAATAAGAGGCAACATGAATGAAAAAATTTAAAAAGAAAAGAAAAAGAAAGAGCATGTGAGTTGTATGAACCACAGGGGAAAATGTGCACAACAGTGAATATTCCTACACAGTAAAATTTATGCATTCTAACTACAAGCAAATATATTTATATGTTTGAGGAATTCAACAATTAAATCTCTGAAGAAGAAAATTATATTGAGTAAGCAAAACTTTTCAATGGATTAAAAACAAATGACAGTAAGTATTCTGGTTAACCCTAGAAAAAAGGAAAAAGCTATGAAAAACTATAGATGTAAATATAGATGAGGGACAGTTCATTCTTTACATGTTAAATGGTTTCATACCATTGCACTGGCTTTCCTCTTAGAAGAAAAAGAATGCAGCTAGAGATTTCAATTTGCCTGAAACAATTTTTACTATTGTTAATTTTTTACCACTTCAGCAAAGGGTCAATTTCTTAGCCTCTCCTTATCAAAAAAGATACAGTACATAATATTCTATCTTCAGTCTTACTTTCTAAAGTTAAGAAACAGGAGAAAATTTGAAAAATCAGTTTCTTTTCTGGAAACATGCTTTACATTCCTTTTAAGAATCAGTCAGAACCAGATTTGAATTTGAAAAAGGAAGGACATCTACATTTTTATAGTTTAATAGTCTATCCTTTGGGCCAAATGAAAGTAGATATAAAGGATGATGAATCATTAAGGACAATATTCCTAAGGCTAAAAAAAGAAGTTGTATGAATACTATTTCTAAATATAAAATTACACACACACATATATATATATATATATATATATATATTTCAGTGTTTGGAATGTTTATTTACTGATGTCCACAGTCAGATTCGGAGTGCACACTCCCATGCCTCTTCAGG